CACATTGAGAGGAGCCAGCTGAGGTGGCTCAGGCATCTGTTTCCTAAGGAGGTGTTCCGGGCATGTCCCACCGGGAGGAGGCCCCGGGGAAGACCTAGGACACGCTGGAGGGACTAAGTCTCTCAGCTGGCCTGGGAAGGCCTCAGCATTCCTCCAGAGGAGCTGGAGGAAGTGTCTGGAGAGAGGGAAGTCTGGGCATCTTTGCTTTGACTGCTGCCCCCGCGACCCGGTTCCAGAGGAAAATGGATGGAATGGATGTTTTTAATAGCTCCCAGGTTTTACTGTTACTTTCATCAGTGTAAAATGCACAAGTGTGTACTGTTTACATTAACATCATGCTAACTAGCTAGGTAATGTTACAAGGCAGCAAAACAGAACACTTTTCGAAGCTTGACTAATCTAACTATCCATTTCTTTTTTTCCTTCCCATTGCAAGGAAAGCAGTAAAATGACAGCTGACCTGTGATTTTGATTCAGATCTTTTGAAACAATGGGGAAAACAAGAGTGTGGAGAAGAGGAGAACGAACAAATGTTTGGACCCACAAACACAATGTTATGTCACCACTTAACAAGCAAATTATACACCACGCTATTTACTACTATAATGTAAAGGCCATTAATGAAACTTTATCAAAGTGCATAAAAATGACTTAGTTCACTCAAATGACATGATGTGTCCTCTGTCCCTGATTGATTGCTGGGTTGCAATGTTTCCTGCAGCTGATAAAATTACAATTAATGAAGACATTCAGAAGCAAACTTATACAACACAACATCTAGCTGCTCACGTCAAACCAGTAATCATCTGATTCAGCTGCTGTGTTTACAATCAAACTACTCTCTATCAATAGCTATGCACACTTTAATTAAATTGCACAACAGGGACTTTTAATTATTTATTGTCCAATATTCTGTTTAATAGGAGTATTGAGCGAGGTTTCTTCTGAGAGGCAATGGTAGGTTAGCTGCCAACACTGTGGATTATTTAAGGTAAGTAAATAAAGTTCACATAGTCAACATGTAGCTACTGTTAGTTTGATTATACATTAATGAAAACATAAGTATGCATACTATAGCCTGTTTTTGCTAATAAGTCCTTCTAGATCTTACAAACTGTACCTTTAAGTCCTGACTCTTAATTAAAAATCGGCATGTCCATCTCCTGCACTGTACAGTAGGATGTATTTCATTGCAGTAGTATTAATTTTGTTTTTGACAAAAACAATAACTTAATGGCTAATTGCAACAAATGACAACAAACTACGACTAAGATGGGTGTGCTGTGTCAGCTTGCCATTAAATTGTGCCATTATGCCTCTGAATGTGTGTATCCGTTGCTACATATGTGCTGTTCACTCGGTGGCCTTTGTTTTGACACTACTGCCTGTTAAAAAGTTAAACTAATAGTATGAATCATGTTTGACAACCAAGAAATGGGTTCTGTAACCCCCAGCCCCAACTGTCTGGGTAGTTGTTGTGAACAGGACTCCTGATGGATAAAAACCATCCATAAATGGTCCTTAAAGCACATCTTAAGATTTTAACAGTGACAATATCATTAAAAATCTTGTGTTTTTTCTGACCCCTCAGATAAATTGGCAAACATTATACACAAACACATCCACAAATAAAGTGCAATTATTTTTTAATGCTCCCTGCGATTTGTTATCTAGAAGTTCACCTCACCTCAACATGATGTTGTGCATTCTTTTCCATTATTTGTGACTAAACAAGGCCAAAGGCTGAAAAACGCTTTATAAGTATGTCTCGTACTTATTGAGCTGCATCCTGAATATAAGTTGCTCATATAATTTTTTTTTTAAATATTAGCCTGTTTGCATCACAGTTTCCACTGTTGTGAGGATTTTGTGTCCAAAGATGCATTCAAAGTGCATAAATATAGATTTATACATTTACAAAGTGGCTTCCTTGCCATTCCTGTCATGGCGGCAGTTAAGACCTCAAATGATCCATATCCTTTAATGATATTTGAACATTTTTACTAGCCACTTTTATTTTGACTAAGCACAGCCAAAGGCTCAGTATTATCCATGCATTGTTCATTTCGATATGTTGAGATGGTTTTTACTCTGCTTATTACCTGTGGTAAAGTTTTTCTTCATTGTAGTGTGATTTGCCATGTGATGGATTGTCGTCCACAAAAATCCCATGTTCACGGTTCATCTTAGTTCACTGAGAGGGTAGCTGAGACTGGCTCTTTTTCTTAAAGGTTTCCTGAATACAGCAGAAATCTTGACTCTCCCATTCTGTCAGGATTATGATCTACTGCTAATAAATAAGAGACAAGCAGCAAATAATAGAATACCTGTATTAGGACATTAAGAATATACAGTAGATTGATGATCCAGTTGCATTTGCATGCAGCTACAGCTCCAAACCTGCCTGCAAGTAAGGCATTTAACGCTCAGTTTCTGTATTCAGCAGTGTTTGCAGGGTGCAGTGTACGCAGCTCCCATGGGTGATTTGTGTGTCTTTGAATTTGAAGGAGGATGCAGCTAAATGAAAGCAGGGGTGCTTTCAGTCGCACTGTGTTGTTATTTCTTTCTGCTCCCTTTCATTAAAGATGGATTATTTTGGAATACCAATATGTCACTGTCAAATTAACAGTTATACCTTTGCCATTGCAGGTTTAATTAAATAAGATGACGGCTATGGCCACGAACACCAGCAGCCTCTCTCACACGCTGGTGGTGTTGTTAGCGTTTGTGGCCCTATGCTACTAAGATGATATGGCCCTAACCCCCTTTATCGCCATTTTTGCTCTTTCCACTAAACAACGAAACTTTAGGTTAGTTGCCACGTGGTCATTTCACTTTGTGACATATACATGATCTTCACCAGAATTCCTGGGTTTGATAGTGCTATCTGTAACACCCAGTATTTTATATTGCATATCCTAAGAAATACATTTAACAACTGATTTTTAAAGAGGAACAGTGGTGGTGCCTATAGTTATGTTAGTGCAACACCAGTGTTCCATTCTTCAGGAGAAGCCCTGTATTGCAAAGAAATTTAAACCTTTAGCCTTGTTTTGACTGTGATAATAGAAGCCTGCTTCTTATGTTCTGCTCTAAAACGATTTTCCTCTGTACAGTAATTAAGTCTGACTTCATGGCATGAAGTCGCACCTAATTACAGGAGGGATAAAGCCATGAGGTCATGAGGGTGGCAGAGGCTGCCAAGATTTTCAAAACAAAAATGTGTTGTTTACTAAAAGCTATTTTATAATAAAATGCTATAAGTTTATCATTAACATGCAGCCCCTCACATTATATACTTTTTGCATTGTCCAAGTGGTTATTTGTGAAAATCAACTCCCATTTCAATACTAGGCTTTCGAATTTCCCCAGCGATATCATCATTAGTGTCTACTGCTGAAAATTGTAAGGGTGGAAACGCATGAAACCATCCCTGCAGGATGTGATAATAAATCTCTCACTGATACTCTCTTTCTTTTTGCTTTTATCTGTATCCTCACATTTACACGTGCCTGTGTGTGTAACTGTCTTTGTGTTTGCTTTCTTGTATTGTTGTTCTAGGTGATAAAGTTGTCATTTGAAGAGTTTGACCTGGAAAGAGGATATGACACACTAACTGTAGGAGATGGAGGGAAGATAGGAGACACTCGGAGGGTACTCTATGTGTAAGCACCACTTATATGTTCTGGCCTATTATATAGTAATAATGCCATGCACCAATGTAGAACAAGCTAATGGTGGCAATCAGAGGGGCAATTAGAGACAGATGGGCTCTTTTTTGCAGGAACATATTAAATAAATTGCATTTTATTGATGACTTTTGATATTTTTATGAATCTTATTGAGTCCAATCTATGAACAAATTACATGAGGTATAACTGTACTGAAAATTGATTACTAATATATGTAATGCTATTTTAGATATATAAATAATAAAGCTATCCTTTAAGTCACTGTGTCACAATGTGTGTGTATGTCTGTAGACTCACAGGCTCCAGTGTCCCGGACCTCATCGTTAGCTTGTCCAGTCAGATGTGGCTACACCTGCAGTCAGATGATACAATCGGCTCGGCTGGGTTCAAGGCGGTCTATGAAGGTATGGCCTCCTTCATAGTGAATACAACAACTTTAAAGACAACTTTTTAGTCACATTTTTCTTATTCTGTCTGTGAAACACACACGCACGCATGTGCATGCACACGCACAAACACACAGGCACATACTCACGTATTGTAATGGAGTGTGAAAGTCATGGCTTTGCTGACATGGTAAGTCAGTAGTAAACACAACTGCTGTTGTCTGTCCTTGTGCATACATGTGAGTATGTGTGCGATGGTGTATTACGAGAACGTAGTAAATGTATTATGAGTCAATCAGTTGATGGTTTTGCTTGGTTATTTTTCATATTATGCCAAAGCTGACACCAAGAGAAACAAAGATGGAGACAGTCACAGTGAGTGAAGGTGAGAGGGAGAGCTAAAGATATTCCTCTAAATACTAGCTAATTAAAACAATCCATTTGCTATTTTTATATATAATATTTGTAACTCAGCTCAGTTGAATACAGTTGAGACAAATTGTGAGGCAGGTAGAGAGAGGAAAGGCAATTAGAGACAGAGGGAGTGTTGACAGGAAATTGAGAGAGGAGACAAAATGACAAATTCAGTGAGAAGAAATAGACCGAGGGAGTGTGAGAGGGAGAGAAAAGGATAAAGGTCATGCTCTTGATTCTGCTTGGCTGTGTTTGAGTCAGTGGTGTTGTTGACGGTGTTGTGCAGGGTCAGATTCTCTTCAAGGGAATAGGAACAGTGTACAGTTGCTTCAGAAACTCATGGAGACATTTAACATCATGTTACAGGGTTTCTTTTGCTCAATATGAGGTCCAGATGGCACTAGCCTTGATTTACAGTATGAGTTTTAATTTTTCTTGTTGTTCAACATTTGTCCCAACAGCAATAAGAGCCTTATTTTTTATGGCTTAGCTTAGGGGGTCAAAATAACTTAGGTGGACCTTAGTTATCTGATATTATAAATTTTAATGCAATGCAAGATGTGACAACATAAAAGAAGAAAAGAAGAATCAAACAAACAAAGTGGCTGACTCGAGGTACTTAATGACCTCTAGATGATCTTTTCCCCAAGACAAACAAACATCCACCTGCAGCGTGCTTTGTGTGTCCTTGCGTGTATATATGTGATGTTGTCACATTGTATAATATCACCATGTTATACACTTTGATCAGTGTTCCTGAGAGTTCCCTTCAGGAAAACCCAGCTCGTGTGTGTATGTGTATGTGTGTGTCCTGTTTCTGTCGTGTGTGTGCTTATGTACATATGTATATTTGAAAGGAAGAGAGTTAATATTACAAACACAGCACATTATGGTAATTGAAGCTTTTGGTGTAAAGTTGCTGCCAAGTTTTCAGGCTGACGGCAATTGGCTGTGAAAAGAATAATGATGTAAATAATGCAGTTAGTTTTTAACTCGTCAAAGGACTGAAAATTAGCATTGAATATTTTTACAGTTCTTCCGCAGAGCCAGCAGACTTTTATTTTAACATGACTGTGTTGTTGCAAAACTTCAAAATACAGCTAAGCATACTGTACATTAGTGTTGTGAATCAGGATATTAAGGCTAGTTTGTTGGCTATTTATAGTACAATGTGTTAGAGAAAAGGGGATGTTTGTACCATAACACAATAGCATATCAAACACACTAAAGACTATAAATTGCTCACTTTGATTAACTATATCTAGCTGTTGGTTTTCTGCATGTTCATTTCCGTACTGTACCAGCAAACCAAATGTGGCTGAAATGCTTTGCCTTGAAAGATGGCTGGCAGTAATGCAACCTTTGTATGCAGTTAATGTGCAAAACACACAAAGCTACCAAAGAGGTCCCTAAAGTATCCATCAGTGTATTTTTTCTTCCTATTGCTGTATAACATTTGAATACATCAGCCAAATCTTCTATGTTTTATTTTCTATTCTCATGCATGTAGATTACTTTGTAATATAGAGTTGGAAAGGAATCGAAAAAGAAGCATAAAATTGTTGCATTGAGATGTAAATTTATATTCTTCACTTCAGTAAAACTTTAGAAAAAAAGAAGAAAAAGCAAACTTTAAAAAAAGGAGAAGAGAATGAGTGAAAGAGGCAGTTACAACCATAATGACAGACTTACCAGAGGCTCAGGATTGCTTCTATCCATCCTGACACTCGTCGGCTGTGCGACAGCTAGCTGTGGGCCACACGCACACACGCGACTGACACTTTCTGATTATTCTGTTCTTGTGGGTTTGCGTACATCCCAATAGATAGTAAAAGTGTACAACACTGACACACACATAACTCACCTTGAGATGTATTTGCCCAAAGCAAAGCCAGGAGCATGGTGGAGCATGTGTTACAAGGTGACAGACGTCTGGTAGGAAGTCTTTAAAGAGTCAAGCGAGGGAAAAGCAGTAGATTAAAAACAACACACACATTTTTTTTTGGGGGGGGGGGTGTAAAATGAATGGAAGATGTTTGCAGGCCAGTTTGGCAGTACTGCTAATGTGACAACCATGCCAATAAAGCACAGCATATTGAATCAGATTGAGAGGGTGGTAGTAATAAGAGGAAAGTAGAACACAGTGGAAGGACAGGGAGAATTTGAAAGGAGGACAGACAGAGATAAAGCAAGAGAGATGAAGAAACACAGAAACAAAGGAGAGACAGTACATATGTTTCTGAAAATGTGTATGTGAGAAGATGATGTTTTTTTTTCACTGTCACAACCACTGCTTTTTTTTTTACCTCCTGCTGGTTTCTTAACAAGAGTACACATGGATCAGTGCGTGTGTCGGCATCTACCTGTGTGCTTCCACTTACTGTTTTGCCTTTCACAATTAAAGCTGAATTGCACTACAATTAACCTGATGACAATTAGCTGTGAGAAGGGAAACATTAAAATGATTTTAAAACTCTTTCCATAAGTGTAAAATAATAGACACTGGAAAATTCCCTCAATTTTTGCGGCTCCTCCTCCTGCTCCAAGCACAAATCCTCCTTTTTAAAACTTAACAGTTTTTGCCATTTGTCAACAATCAGGACGCTGACTCGGTCACTGACTATCTAAAAAGCAATGTATGCATGTTATAACCATTTAACCCCACCTTACAAGCATAAATAGACAACCCCTTATCTGAATGTCACCATGTCATGCGTTGACGCTAATTATCAGCATCAAAACACGGCTGTCTGTTTCTCTTACAGAGATTGAACGGGGAGGCTGCGGTGATCCGGGGGTGCCAGCATTTGGTCGTCGTAGCGGCGATCGCTTTCAACATGGTGACGTTTTGACCTTCTTTTGCCAGTCAGCCTTTGAACTTGTGGGAGAGAGGACCATCACTTGCCAGCCCAATAACCAGTGGTCTGGAAATAAACCCAGCTGTGTCTGTAAGTGCACACTTTTTCTCTTTTTTTTTTGCTTGTTTGTATGTTTTTCTGCTTTTTTAATTATGTCTGGGCCTTTTCACTTGTATTCATACCTAAAGGGCTACTTTCTTCCTCTTTGTAGTTTCATGTTTTTTCAACTTCACGGCTCCATCAGGGACTATATTGTCCCCAAACTACCCAGAGGAGTATGGGAACAACCTGAACTGTGTGTGGTTGATTATTTCTGAACCAGGAAGCCGCATTCATCTTCTATTCTCTGACTTTGACCTGGAACCACAGTTCGACTGGTTGGTGGTCAAAGATGAAGGTAATTGGTCTGTAGCTTAATACTTCACTATATTTTTGTAATCTCTGTTCCTTCTGTTTTCTATATTCATTTAGGGAAGTGAAGTTAATACCTTGGTATATGATCAAGGAAAATTTCTGAAATACTGTATGGTGTGCATACAACTGAAATGGTAAAAAACCTAAGTAAAGAGAACTGCAGACTGGATTTGGTTGATAGCTGGCCAGCCAACTAGATGAAAGGTTGGATGCTATAGTGTTTTTTTTTAATTATTATTATTTTTAACACATACTGTATATAATTTTCCACTTCACACAGAACAGGGGACAATTAGCTTGCTGCTCCCCACTGTAATAAAGGATATTGATTTAATCAAGTAAAGCTCTTGTTTGAGTGGCTGGTCAATAAAGATGAAGTTGTGTTTAACCAACTGGCTGTAAACCTGTCCCTCTACAGGGATGATTTTTGTAGCAGCTTTGGGAATTGCAGGACAATTAGTGTTGTTACACTGAACAAACTGAAATTAAAATTGTCACTTTCAAGTCTTCCAGTTTGTTCCACTTGGTGATAAATCACTGCTGTCACATGAAAACCACACCGTATGTCTAGTTTTTACAAATTAAGACACAAAACGTATTTCACTAACAAGGACCAATGCAACAACTGAAAGGGATACATTTATTTTCATAAATGTTTGGATAGTGAGAGGACATTTGAGGGGCTTAGCCACTGTCACCTGTGTGAAGAAGATGTCTTCAGATGGATAAAGTCAACTGTGGGTTGGGGAAGACTTCAAAGGTGCCCGTCATGACTCCTGGGTTTGCAGATTCCCACCAGGAGATCTATATATATGTAGAGAGAGAAAGCAAAAGAGAAAAACAAAAAAGAGGAGGACTGGCCAAATGTGTAAAAATAGAGCTTATACGTATATAGTTCCTAGCAGGAAGTGGTTGGATTGAGATGTGGTCCTGCTCCTAAACTGCAGATAATAATCTTCACTGTAACTGATACACTTTATTAAAATTGTGTTTTGAAGGTTTTTGTGATATTTACTGCAAAATATACCTTTTTATGTATATGTCATAGTTAGATAAAGAAAACCGTGTGGAAACAGTAAATGCTTTTAGTATGTTGGTTTGTGACTTGTAAAAGATCAGTGTGCAATAATATGCCACCCATCAAACGGTTAATAATTGGTCATTAGAACATTAACTACATTATGAGAGTGCCTAATTTAAAACTGTTTTTCAGAGCTTATTAATTTAATTTAATTAATCTGAACTGAAAGGCTGCACCACTTAGATAACTGCATCACTGCTCAAGTAAGTGTTGGTGCTGTTCATCATTAATAGTATACGTATATCCATGATTGATTGGCATTGTCCAATAGTCTTCATGTAACATAGTGTATTCAAACGTGTGACAAAAGCTGTCAACAGCTTTGCGGTTCTATGTACAGTGGGGTGACCCAAAATAAATCTGCATCCCATTGCAGTGAGACTAGAGTTTCTCTGCATCAAACAAACCTAAGGGCTTTTCCTTTCACCCGGGGTTTTATGTGATCATGACACTCGTGACTTTGTCTTCTTTTTATTTTTGTATAAAAGAACATTGAGCTGATGGCAAGAAAAGGTGAACCAAGAAACCACCGTAATAAGCCATAAATGTCTTGAGCTGGGAAACAGTAGCATAAAATCTAGCCTGAAAAAAATCTAACAAAGCTTCATGGCACACTTTGAACAGTAGATAAATGGTTAACATAATCAGAAAGCCATTGTTGTGGTCTGATATAAGGGAATATACTGACAGACCATTTCAAAAGGCCTTTCTCTAAATCTCTCCTCTTAGATAAGATAACGAAGGACCTTGTCACTCTTTCAGCTATTGTCATGTTGATTCTCTTTCCGCTCCTAGTCTCCTGCCTGTTAATGAAATAATGAATAAGAGAAAGAGCTTTTAGGTTGCTAAAAAACAGACAGACAGGCACTTTGCAACTCAGTCACTGCATAGATTAACTGAGTCTAAGTGCACTGGATCTAAAACTCGAAGTCAAGGAGGCAATAAAAAGAAAAGTTTCTGTGGGAGTGTTGGTGAAAGATTTCTATTTCACATAGTGTGTTTTACTACTGAAGTGTTCATGTAGCTTCCTGTCTATCCCTTACATGGTCCTCAACTGCTTTTCGTTGCACCTTTTGTAGTTGGATTCATAAAATTTTTTGAATATTACTTTCAGTATTGTACAGTGAAACCATCACAGTTTCATTAGGTTTTGCTGCACAAAATACTTAGTTATGATTAGGCACAAAAATTACTTGGTTATATTTAGGGGAAAAAATGACTTGGTCACATTTAGGAACAAAACCATGCTGTTTTTTTTAGGTACAAAAACCTTTGGAAAACACAAGCCACACAGTAGAATTGAACTTAGGTCTCCTGGAAGAAGGTCCTATGTTGTGTGTACCTAGCCATCGACCTCATCTCCTTTGAGTATGGTCTTTTTGTCCCTATTGATCATAATTAATAGAAGTCGCTAGATATCACCCAACTATGACACCTAACACTTTGTCATAATAACCTGTTAGCACAAACAACATGTTGTCTTTTACAGGACAGTCTCAATCTGATTTAACAACTAATACAGAATAATGGCTTTTTGAGACTTTGGAAAAGTCATGATTGTAGATGCCAGATGATGAATTTGAACATCACTTAAACCAGAATACAATACACCACACCAGACCATTCACTATATGGGAGATGATTCCTTGGTGGACAACCACGGGAAATGCCAGGCGGCAAAGGCCATGAATAATCACCAGTACTTGCTTTTCTTACCCAACTGCAGGTGTTTTCTGGTGAATCACTGCTCCTGCCGCAGCACCAGTCTGGTAGACTGCTGGTGGGCCATCGATAACAACAAGCTTTGTGGTAGTTTTGGCTGTAAAGTGAAGTCAGCATGCCAATAGCTTATCAGCATCAACTGACATTTATAATCACACTGAAACAAATTCCCAATCAGATTCAATCAGGATAATAAAGTGGTCTTTATAATCCTACAAGCTCTCACACTTACTGTTGATCATTATGGTGCTGCTGCTGCTGGTTAATCTGTTTATTTCAACCTGCTACAAGCTGCTGTTACTGGCTGTGGCAATAGATTTATCCATCAGCCACCTCAGCCTCCTCCTGTTCTATTGTCTTTTTGCTATATTTGTGGATGGCATTTCTTTCTCTTTACTTTCTGTATATTCCATATCTCACTGATATGGGCCTGCTGGGTTCTGTTGTGTGTAGCCTTTTAGGGTTTTATTGTGCTCCCCTCTGAATCTGTTGCTGCTGGTTGGATCATCAGGGATCACCCTGAGGAGCAGAGTGTATTCTGCCACACAAAAGTTTGTAACCATTTGTTGCAGTAAATGGTCCTATGCTGTAACACAAATGTGTCAGACAGAAATGAGGTGATCCATAGTTACAGCTATGCAGACCAGTGGGGGAGGTGTAATGGTTGCAGGGCCATTCACTTGCTATACTCTGGGTTTTTTAATGGCTATAGAGTGAT